AAAAAAAAAAAAAAAAAAAAAAAAACACATCATAGTAAAATTAATACCTTCTCCGCTTCGCATCGAAGCTAAAAAAAACAAAGTTTTTAAATACTCATAAATATTATAATTTGATTTAATTATTTTTTTAAATTTTATCATCAAAAATATATAATAAACCAATAACTTAAGATATTTTTAAATTTAATCCACTAGTATTTTCTGCATCTATTTATGAAAAAAAAAATAAATTTTTGTCATACTGAAAGTTTTGTCTTACTAACAATAACACACTACATTACATTAAAATATTTAATGTATTTTGCTGTTTACCTTTTAACATTTTTACATTATATTCTACATAAGAATAAAATTTATATAGCACCATGTCATAAATATCACTTAAATCTTTATATAAAGATTTTAATTTAATTATATAAGAACCATTAATAATACGAAAAACCTGTTTTATACTTTTACTGCATGTCATCTCTACCAAACATGTACACCAAATGAAACGATCCTTAAAGACATTGATAAGTTTAATGAATTTCTGTTTATCTTTATTCAGTTTTTGAGATTGGTTATATTTATTAAACATTAAAATTATTTGATTAATCGGTTCTCTACGTAAACGATAATCACTAAATTTTTCTGATAGAAAATTGAAAAAAGTTAATGCCTCATTAAAATGATGACTAAACTTCTCGTGATCTTTAGGAATGTGTTTTATGGCTATTGCTGTGAATACACTATATTCCAATAATAATGTAATTCCAATACTTTCAATTACATTTCTAAGCCAAACTATGGCTTCCATTGGATCGTTATATTCTTGTATAGCTTGATCCGTAATTTCTCGTAAGGTTCTTCCATCAACAGGCGTGCGATAAAATAAACGAGGAGCTGAACCTAAATATTCTTCGTCCAAAGGTACAGGATTATCAATGTCTTCATTTAGGTAGAATTCTTCGATGTTTTTGATTGAAAAAACTTTAGCACTAGTATACACAGTATAATTTCTTATTTTCAAAGGTAACAATTTCTCATGGTAATGTATATGTTCTTTTGCGACATCAAGTGTTATATTGTTCATGTCAATTTGCACACACGTACAGATTTTAGCTAAACATATTAACAACAATGCATAACTAATTAAAATCATGTCGAAGAAAATTACAAAAAACTATGAGTGAAAATCTAATGTAGATATGCCGAAGAGAAAAAATCATTACAACAGAATTTTAGACATACGTGGTCTTCTTAAATCAAATAAACTGTTTTTACATTTTTCCGTAAATAAAAATACTAATAATATATTTTTCATAAATTAAAGGCAAATATTAATTTATATTTAAGTACAAAAATGACAAATTTATATGCGTTTCATTTATACATTACAATAAGTAATTGAATTGATTGTGTTAGTTAAATTAAAAGATTAAATTAAAAACAGCAGTTTGTATTTGAATGCAAAAATGACTAATTTATATTAGTCAATATAAATTTTATTTTTGTATACTAAATTATTTCATTAAGTGAACAGAAAAATAACACAAGCAGTTTTTTTTATTATAAAAATAAATGATTTTTTGATACTATTAATATTAAACCAATTAAACGTTAAATTTTTATTTTAATTAAAATTATTTAAGAGTCATATTTATAGAAAGACATTTGAAACTGTTACACTTGCACACAAAAAAAATAAAATACTGTATGTATTTGCTTCACATATACAATTTTAAATTGTCGTTTTAATCTTGCCCACACACTTTCCTCTCCTTTCTCAGGTCTTTGAACGGTGGTAGCAACCCTATTAAACATGTGCCATGATTGTCGATTAGAAGATGTGTAATATATGAGCTGGATACCCCCCCAAAACGGCCCCGGTCGTTTCCTCTCCATAGTCCCCCCATCCACTTGATTTACCCTGTCATAGGTGGTCGGGTGGTGTAAACGGCCGGGGGATATGTGAAAGGCAATGACCCCCTCCTCATGAAAGTTTAAGAATATAATGGAGGAGCTCTCTCATGACAGTAGATATCCCAAGTATGGGGGTTAATCTACATGTGGGGGTACATAAGAAGGGGAGCTATGAAAAAATTAATACTTTTTAGAAATTACTTATTAAATTGTCATTAATGAGTAATTATAAGTTAAAAATGTTTAAGTGGTGAAGGAATGGGTTAGTTTACGGGGATATATGTTTTGTGATTTGCTGACTTACTTACTTGAGTAAAATTAATAGTGTGTGTCAGTTAAACGTTTAAAAATGTTTTCTTGTGACAAATGTGAAAAAGTGTATGTCGCCAAAAACTGTTTGATGAGACATAGAAAAATCCATGATGGTATACGATTTAAGTTTTATTTATGCCCATCTAGTTTTTCGGATAAATACGGAATTGTACGCCATGTTCAAAAGATACACCGTAAGTATTACTATTATTATTCAATAAAATAGTAATATGAAAAGAGAAAATATATTAGTAGAGTGTTAAAAGAAGTGTAATATTTTAGATCTCGTAAAGTATGGTGTGGACTATAATATTGCTATAGGAAATCATGCTGGTTCGAGGGCTATGTAAACGAATGGTAAATAAAAGAAAATATCTTACAAAAAATTTATATGCTAAAATAAATGTATGAATATTTGTTTTAGAAAATGTAAATGTTACGGAAAGAATGCAGGCGGGCCCTAGTGTAATTAGTCCTAAACGTCGCAAACAATGTAACACCGACAATACGATTAAATGTAAACGGATAAAGGCAAAACGATTACAAGAAATTACGACGAGCGGTTTTCATAAAACGAGTGAATCATTAAATAGTCTAATTTTATGGTTTTACAAAAAGAATATTGAAAACCTAGCAGGGTGTCAATCGTTTTTGTCGGCAACAAGAGGCGATTTAGTTGAAAAATTACGCGACTGTCTTAAAGTAATGAGGCCGATAAAATTCAACTTAAAACTGGAGGCGACTTATTCGGTTCCGAATAATGAAAACAAGTACGAAAATCGGTCATTTAAAACGTCGGCAGCCGAGTTAATTTCGTTAATTATCGTCCTCGTTGGACGATATCGATCATGCTGTGGATATTTCATACACAAAATTATTAGAAGAACAGGAAAACTATGCTGGTAAAGGTAGTAATTTCTCGTTTTCTAATATAGATGGTATTTTACTGGGTGTTTACAAATATCAGCCTTTAGGCGGGAGTTCTTACATTGATTTGCCGCATGACATTAAAATGTAAAAAGCTATAATAAACCCACAAAATATAAATCAAACATTTTTCAAATGGGCTATATTGGCAAAGAATGTGACAGGAGATAATAAAAATATTGTAGGTCACAACTATAAGTCTATAGATAACTCTTATAATTTCTCCGATTTATCATTCCCAACACCTAACAGACATAAAAATTTTCGAAAAAAATAATCCACATACTTCAGTTAATGTTTACGGACTAAAATTGAAAGATATACATAATAAATCCGAATATTTAGTTTGTCCGCTGAAAGTCTGCGTTGACGAACGTAAAGACCATATCGATTTATTAATTGTGTCAAACGCCGCGGGTGATAGTCATTACATTTAATCACTGATTTTGAAAAACTGGTTCAATCACAAATGACAAAGAGTACGGCAAAAATGATACTTTGCAAACGGTGTTTCACGGGCTTTAATAATATACCTAAAAAGTATAAACTACATGGAGTTGAGGCGCTAGAAGAACATAAAAAAATTTGTGGCGAAAACAAACCGTTTTTACCTGTAATGCCTGAAGAGGGCACTAAATTAATTTCGAGTCATGGAGCAAAACACAGGAACATCCATTTGCACTTTATGCTGATTTTGAAAGCCTGTTGGTCAAGTCCAACAATGATACGAAAGGTAACACAAATTTTGTTCATGAACATGTTGCAATGAGCTATGGATACATAGTAAAAGCGGCCGATAGTGTACCCACAGAATTATTGCAACAGTTTAATATTCAAACGACACTTAAAATATATAGAGGAAATAAAAGCAGTGAGCCTGGAGAAGTAGTCAATGGTTTCATGGATGATGTAGCTGAAGTGGCGTTGAAAATTGAAGAGTTACTCAAGACGAATGTTGATATTTGTATGACACACGAAGAAACTGAAGAACATTTAAAGAAAACCTGCTGTGACTTGTGTAAATGTAGTTTTACAGAGAATAATCATAAAGTAGCAGACCATGATCATTTGACAGGTAAATCATAAACATAACTGTGTTAAATGTATTGTAATTAATATAAAAAAGAAAATTATATATATATATATATATATATATATATATATATATTTGTTTCAGGTAGTTTTAGAAAAACGCTTTGTAACAATTGCAATTTAAAATTATCAACGCCCAAGTTTGTTAAGGTATATTTTTATAATCTCAGCTCGTACGACGGACACTTTTTAGTTAAAGCCCTTGGAAAAGATACTAGTAGAATAAGTGTAATACCCGCTACAGAAGAAAACTATATTTCTTTTTCAAAGTTTGTTTCAAAAAAATGTTCACTTAGGTTCATCGATACATTTCGTTTTATGGGTACTAGTTTAGCGGCTCTCGCTGGAAATTTGCGCGCCGCCGACATAAAATTATTCAGAGAAACCGCAAAAGCGTTTTCATCGGACGGCGACGTTGATTTGGTGACCCGTAAAGGCCTGTATCCGTATTCATACACCTCCAGCTGGGATGTACTCGAAGAAAAACAATTGCCGTCAAAAGCCGATTTTTATAATGATCTGTCAGAAACACATATTGATGATACCGAATACAAACACACACAAAACGTTTGGCAACATTTCAATTGTAAAACGCTCGGTGAGTACTCTGATCTGTACCTGAAAACTGACGTAACAATACTTGCGGATGTTTTTACGAATTTTCGCTAGTTATGTCTACTAAAATATAAATTGGAACCGGCATATTATTTTACAAGTCCCGGTCTGTCTTTTGACGCTATGTTGCTGCATACGGGCGTTTCACTAGACTTCATGAGCGATTATGAACAGCAACTTTTTATTGAGAGAGGAATACGGGGAGGAATGACATCTTCGGTTTTGAAACATTCCATAGCCAACAATGAAAAGACGCCTAATTATGATATGAAACAACAAAAATCTGAAATTATATATTTGGATGTCAATAATTTGTATGGTTGGAGTATGTCTCAACATATGCCGTATGGTGACTTTAAGTGGTTAGACGCGGACGACGAAACAAAAATTTTAAAGACAGTGGAAGAATTACTTGCGGATTCTCCTGTAAGAATTGCCCTTGAAGTGACGGTGTCGTACCCGAAAGAGTTACATGATGCCCACAACGAAATGCCGTTTCTACCTGAACGAAAATGTCCTAATTCACGGGTCAAAAAACTGTTGTCTACTTTCGATTGGAAAGAAAACTACGTTGTACATTATCTAAATTTAAAACAGGCTATGGCAAACGAATTAAAAGTAGAAAAGGTAATTCATAAAATTATATTTTAGAAATATAATAATAACATGTCATTAAATTACAGGTGCATAAGGTGTTACAATTTAAGCAGTCGGCATGGCTAGCAAAATATATACAACTAAATACAGAGATGAGACAGAAAGCCAAAAATGATTTTGAAAAAGACTTTTTTAAATTAACGAACAACGCTGTTTTTGGTAAGTTTTAAAATTAAATAAAAATATATAAACATAATTTTAATACGATTTCGTTTGTTAACAGGTAAAATGATGGAACGTGTACAATTAAGAACGCGAATGGAATTGGTCAATAATCCTAAACGAGCGGCTAAATTAATTAAAAAGCATAATTTCAAACATTGTACAAAGTACAGTGAAAATTTATCGGCATTTGTATTGGAAAAGAAAATTATCGATTTTTGTAAACCAGTATACGTAGGTTTCGCAATTTTAGAAATTAGTAAAACTCTCGTATACGATTTCCATTACAACGTAATGAAGAAATATTTCAAAGACCGTGCTCGACTATTATACGGCGACACAGGTAGATTAATTAATATTTTTATTGAAAAAATAAAATAATTTTATTTTTTGATTTTATTGTTTAGATTCATTAGTGTACTTTATCGTGGGTGATGACTTTTACGCGGTGGCAAAGAAAAATCCTGATCTAATGGCTAGACTTGACACTTCAGGTTTGCCGAGCAGTCACCCGTGTTATTCAAACGCTAACAAGAAGCTGCCTGGTCTGTGGAGTGACGTAGCGCCGGGTAAATCTATATTGGAGTTTATTAGTCTCAGACCGAAATTACAAACGAGAGTGCAGTTATTAATTTAAGCAAACAAAATGAGCCAGGTACTCATTGGACGTGCTATAGAAAAAATAACAATACAGTACATTATTTTGATAGTTACGGTGATTTGGCTCCACCGCTAGAGTTACAGAAATATTTTAACGGCTGATAGATCGGTAAACTGCGGTCATTTGTGCCTAAAATTTCTAAGTCAGAAATTATGAAATCGGCTACAATAATGTTGAGCGTTAATTCGTCACAATCAAGTTGTAGTTTTTACCCACTGACTTTCATGAATATTATATAATTTAATTGTCGTAGAATAAAGTTCATAAGACATAAGAAATTAAACTAAATTATGAATGTGTTAAAACTTTCATGTATTGTCTTGTTGCTTGAAGTTCTTGATTGTAAACATGGATATATCCTCAAGAACTTAAACTAAATTTTTAAAATTTTTTTAAAGTCGAAAAAGTAATTTTTAAATTTGAACATAAACGAATAAACGAACAGTTGCCGAAAGGTAACACTTGTGTCTTTCACGCTTAGGGTACGAGGTTCGAATCCGCCTGTGGCAATTAATTCTTTGCAATTTTTTTGAGTTAGAAAAATATTTTCAATTCATTTGATTTTTATCTCATTTAGATACCATAACTTCAATAAATATCAAGGATCCCATCAATATAGTTTCCCCACGTGAGAAGAAATTGCATAACGATCGAATAACATAACAATGCAGTAGAACTTCGATAATGGTGATTACAATTATTAAGTAATGATGCCGAGTGCGCGATTAGAACAGAATAGACTGTAAGGGTTTGGTCGGTCTTTTATAATATTATGCATCCCCGAAAGTCATCATTCATACAATTTTATTGTAATAAGTGAGCATAAAATATTTATTACAGATTATTACACATGAATAGTATACAAATCATTTTGACATTTTATACATCGTTAATATAATTTCTTACACTTAAGATTAAGGTTGACACAATACGTTTATTTATTAAGATTAGAATAAAAAATATGACAAACATGATATATAGATTTTTGAAAACTATAAAGAAATTTTACTACACTATTTCACAAAAATTATTTTTAATCGTTCAACAGATACAGATTTAGTAGTGGACAATACCTTAGGTAAATTATCGCCTTTACATTGTACATAATATTAGTATGTTTGGCCGCCGATCAAGTGTAGCACCACTTGCGTACCATTAGTTAACATGATCTGAATTGTTTCGCGTCATTGTGTACAGCGATCCAGTCTGGCGCTTATACTAGAACTATCCTATGACGGATAGTGGAGTGCCTCAACTTGAGGGCCCACAGCTGAGTTCCGTGATCGCGGTTTGTCTCCAGGAGAATTGTTGATGTCCATAAGTCTATCAGAATCCAATAAGAAGGACAAATTTTATTTAAAATTTAAAATTATTTTTTAATGAACAATAATTGTGAGTAGGTAGTCAAGTCATGTAATTTTTAGATTATTGATCAATTTTATTTGAAATTTTCTACTGTATTTGGCATTATTAATTGTTCCCATTGTAATTAAGTTATTTTAGCTTCGATGCGAAGCTGAGAAGGTATTGGTTTTACTAAGATGTGTTTTTTTTTTTTACAGCGTCTAGTCACTGTAAAATTAATCGTGGCACTTTAATTCGATATATGTTTAAAGGATGCAGTATTTCCGGAACATTTTCAAAAATTATGTTGAAAAAGTTAGTTTTTGTAAAAAAGTTGTTATTTTAAATCCCCCCTGTGAGTAGAATAAGTGTTAGATTTTCAAATAAAATGATATCAAATGAAAGGAAATATCTAAGGTTTCAATACAAAAAAATATTATTTTTATTTGTTCATTTTTGAAAAAGTTATGGCAGTTTTAAGTACAAAAAACATCCCGATAAAAGGTAATTTTTATCGCAAACATTACATTTTTTTTTAAATTTTCGACAGCCATTTGCACATAGAAGATAAGATGTCGGGANATTTTTATCGCAAACATTACATTTTTTTTTAAATTTTCGACAGCCATTTGCACATAGAAGATAAGATGTCGGGACAAATTTTTTTTTTTGATTTGATAGTACATAAAATAAGCTTTAATTTGATATATGTTTAAAGGACGCAGTATTTCCGGAACATTTTTAAAAGTTCAGTTAAAAAAGTTCTATTTTTTATACAATGTTTCGAAGTTTAAACCCCCTCTATATAAGGGGAAATTGTCTAATTTTAATAAAAAGTATGTCAAATGGAAGATGTACTTATAATGTATTTAGAAAAAAAAAATTTGTGCTGATATATACATTTTTCAAAAAGTTATAGCATTTTTAAGTTGAAAATTTAAAATC